TTACTTCATGAAAGATGTATTGTTGCAAATGTTGTGAAAGTCTTGATTTCACAGATGTTCAGCAATTTCATTGAGTGTTTGATACTTCACAACATCCATGTACCAGTACATTTATGTTATAGAAAAGTAAAAAAGAAATTGCTTTTGGTTTGTAAAGCTGAACAAATTAATTGCAGATTTACTTTCATCACATTAGCATTGATACATTTGCTCAGACTGAGGCAAGTCTGGAATTCCCTGAGACACTCACTATATGATTGATACCCAGTAGTTATAAAATTAATGTACAAATAGTAGTTATTTACTTTATGCATGGCTTAGTTGTTGTTGTTTACATTGTACGCTTTGGTGTTCTCCACAGACTGTAAAAAACAATAAAAGGAATTCTTTTGTTGTTTGCATTGTTTGCTTCAGCCACTGGCTATAAAAATAATAAAAGTGCCTTCTAATTATTATTAATTATTTATGTTCACTGCTATATCAGTTCTATTGATATTGAAATCCTACAAGTATATAGAAAACTCATATACAGAAGCTTGAAGCGAGAGGGTCGTCACCTGTGCACGCGCGGGAATTGAGTCCCAAGCGACGATAACAACACAAGTTAAAAATGCAAAGGCTCATGGGTAGACGCTATGGCCATCTGACGCATGCGCAGATGATGACTTCCCCGCTTTAAAGAAAATGCTAAGAATTTGATTAGAATATGCCATTTACTAAAACTGTAGTATAACTGTGGGAAGCACTGCATTACAATAGTCAGTATATTTATCAATTTTTAAAATCTGTGTAATTGTATTATGTACTATGCTGCCTACCGGTACATACTGTTATAATATAGTTTAACTGTTTGATTTACAAAAGGGCTCAGTTTACATGAGGTGTTTATGAAGTAAATGTATTAAAAACTGTCAATGTGCACCTTTAACTAGAAAGATTGTACATGTACTGGCTCGTCGAATAAAACACTTCTGGTTCTGTTTATGTTCATGATTATTCACTAATAGGGGAAATATGTTATGAACATTTATTTATTTTAATATTTGTGTACCATAGCTCTCTAAAGATAAAAATGCTCTTTATTTATTATTAGTAAGAGGTATTAACTGTTCAGTAATTAGATTCCGTGTACCTAAAAATGATATGTACTGTAAAATGCTTTAACATCACTAGAGAAAAGTTTTCATTGTCAGCGAAAATCACTTAATTTCGTTTTGAAATTTTTGTATCAAATTGCTCTTTGGTCTTAAAACACAGTGTCAGCGACTTTTGCAAAAAAAATTTTCTTCAGCACATAATGCCATATAATCATGATGATTCCTTGCAGCAAAAATTAAACGGTTTACAGTACATTGAACTTTTCTAATCTTGCCTTCCTTCATAAGACTGTTTCACATTTGTTCATTAATTATTATTCATTGCGTGAAAGGTATATTAATATAGTATTGTTTAATTTGTTATTTTCAGAATTGACCCTAATAATTTGGCTAGGAAAAATAAAGCATCATCATTCAAGGTAAGGAAACTTATACTACATGTTTTGTAACATTAAAGAGTGGTGGTCATCGTCATGCTGCGTATGGTCAATATTTGTGTTGATAAACATTGATCTTCTAATGAAATCATGAATATGAGTTTTGACCTAGGTGTGACTTCCACTAATTACCACTGGTGAATTTCTTGATGCTTTCAAATCACCTAAAAAATACCCAATTAAAGCATGGAACCGCCTAAGTTTGTAGTTGTTGGTCTGTGCAATGGTCAAAGTCGCCATCTTTGTTTATATGAGACCCATATCTGTCATTTGTGTGGTGCAATGACCATCGCACTTTAACATTTGTTCAATCGTGTGTAAGTTTTCATGATACATTTGTATAGTACCGGTAGACATGTACAAATGGAAGGTGCAGAGCATGATTCATGGTAACATGTACTCTTAGTCAAATGAATGCCATTATTTTATAGAATGTACTTTTTGATACATAATGTGAACTTTTGGTATAAGCATACATTTTTTTTATAATTTGCAGATTTCTGCAGATGCTGAAGAGAATGACAATGAACAAGAACAGAAAAGACAGCATGGCAAGCCAGTCAAATATGGCCAGGTTGTACAGGTAAGCTATTGATTGATTGATTGATTGACTGACTGATTAATTAATTAATTAATTAATTAATTTGCTCGCTTGCTTATTCACTTACTCACTCACTAATTCTGATAGAAATAAAGAAAGTGACTGATATGTAAATAAATCAATTACGAAATCAGGTACATGCACAATACATGATACATAAGGGCTCATACCACTAATTGAATTTCCATAGACGACAATGTTAACATATGACGAGATTGCTATATGAAAATGACGAAGAAAGTTGAAAATATGGCTCAAAAATGGGAAATCAACATGCCAGTAATCAACCATATGAAAAAAACTAACATGTTGGCCAGCTCAAACTCTTGCAAATCTCAGGTAAACAAGACACATCTACTGTATTTGGATTGCACCAAGAGAAATCACTGGAGAAACACCAAGATTAGAACATCCAAATAAACACAGAATAAACCCACAGGTACACAGCCGCTAAGTAGTAAACAAAAGACCACATGTTGGTCTCACCTCTGACCCAGGTGATTATGCCCTCAAACAGGAAGCACCTGAGAAAAAAAATATTTAAAAAATTTCATTGGTTCTTGCTAGGCATTTAAATTGGTTGATTAGTGGCATGAGACCTTAAACATGTATCCAAAAAAAATGTTTCATGATAGCACATTGAGTAGTTGAATCTGCCTTTATTCAAACTGGTTTGGCTGTATATTGGCCATATATTCTTATATGTGCAGAATCTTTTCCTGTGGTTATAATAAACAGAATATTCATGCGTGTTGTTACAGTGATAGCATCATTTTTATTCCGGAAATACTGTCTTAGTATTTCACATAGTTGAATTATATTCATCTAGTTCTTATTGAGGTTCGCTAAAACAAGGTTTAGTAAATTTTATTTACTGTTCAACAACTCACATTCATATCAAGACAGCAAGTGTTTTGACACGTAAAAAAATGTACCCATGCTGCATTGTATTTAGCCAATTTGAATTTGTTTTTTCTTGTTTGGTTACTATGACAGCAGACTGTCAGACTGATTCTGACTCACAAGTTTAGGCATGCACAAAGATTGTAAAACTTTGCAGTGGCCTGTGTGTACAGTGAATCTTACCAAGTATTTATTACTTTCAATACATGTAGTACTTCAAAAGTTAACAATGAATCCCTGTATAGGTAGGCCTCAGGGGATAACAAAGATGCATTGTTAGGTGTACATCTCAATAGTCACTCTTAATGAAAACAGGTCCTTTATTCTTTATTTCTTTTAGTCTTATTGATTGTTATATATTTTTTTATTATATAAGAAACAATAATTATCACACAAATGAGTGTTTTCCCAGTAATATTATGCTTTTCATTACCATGTGCATGTAATTACGGAAGACAACTGTATGCTGTTATAACAAATGGTCATCATGGTCAATTAAGTTAAAAAACCCATGAGAGAAGATCTACCTTAAAAATTATCAAATATACTCTAAAAACTATATATATAACCACTTAAATGATTTAGGAACTTGTTTTTACCTTATGACAACAGACTGCTCTACTTATTTTAGTTTAGTTTTTGTTTTGGGCTGTGAATACTTTAGTTCTGGACAAGAAATTAAGTACTATCATGGGAATCCTGTCATTTCACTGTAACAAGTTGTATGTTTTTGATAACTGAGCCTTTGGTAGTATACTTAAGGGTGTTCCCTCTAGCACTAGAACTAGTTCATAGAAAAAGTATTAATATGTTGATGGTTATTCAATAGTGTTCAGCCTTTAGTTGGCAGTGAAATGTTATTACAAAAAGGGTTGGGAATATCAGTATGTAATTAACTTTTTGTCATTTTTGGTAAAAAGTGATATTTTTGACTTCTTATTGAAAACCGCAAGTTCAATTGCTTTAATACTACATATATAGGTACTACATGTGGACTTTTCTCGGATTTGTTCATATCATGATGATATCTTTAATTCTCTAATTTTAGTGAATATTTTTGTCATTTTTGGTAAAAAGTGATATTTTTGACTTCTTGTTGAAAACCACAAGTTCAATTGCTTTAATACTACATATATAGATACTACATGTAGACTTTTCTCGGATTTGTTCATATCATGATGATATCTTTAATTCTCTAATTTTAGTGAATATTTTTGTCATTTTTGGTAAAACGTGATATTTTTGACTTCTTTTAAAAAAAAAAGCAAGTTTGATTGCCTTGATATTACATATATAGGTACTAAATGTGGACCTCTCTCAGATTTGTTCATGTTGTTATGATATCATTAATTCTCTAATTTTGGTGAATATTTTTGTCATTTTTGCTAAAAATTGATATTTTCGACTTCTTGTTGAAAACCGCAAGTCCAATTGTTTTGATATTATTCATATAGGTAATACACGTGGACCTCTCTCAGATTTGTTCATTTTCTTATGATAACGTAAATTTCCTAATTTAATTCTCTTGTTGAAAACAGCAAGTCTGATTGCTTTGATACTGTACATATTGTTCATTTTCTAACGATTTCTTCAGTTCTTTAATTGAAATGTTCATTGCTAACAGCAGAGCTATCTCAGCTGACAGGCTGCTTGTAATCTAAGTAATATTATTATTTCCTTGTCTTTCATGATTTATTTATTTTATTTTTTTTCAGCTCAAACACTTGTTCACCAATAAATATATTCACGTTAGTTCAACACAAACCTCCGCTACAGAGTACAGTAATATGCTTGTAAGTGTTCTCATAAATCATAATCTTCTTTATTGTCATGGGAGTGGCTGGTTGTTTCATGAGTCACCAACATCTTGATTTAATAGTTATTTTTAGGATTTAGTCATTAGGGTACAGCAGCAAATTACTATGTACATGTACATCTGTAATGTGAAAACTGACACTACCTTATTTACTCTATTAGTAGTGTATGCGTATACACAAATGACAGAGATAATATGTCATATTTTAATGAGCTTGTGCATAATTAATGCAACTTGGGTTTACATTGGAGATGTGATTCTAATAGAGCAGATGTAGTATAGTTTGAGATTATAGTACTGACTTTTTGCGTGACATGGGATATGAGCATGTCAGGTTGTATGATGTGAATTCTAAGATTTCACATAATCATTTTCTATTTGTTAAAATAAAGGTTTTTACAGTGTGATGCTAGATATATACCGGTATATTGTATTTAATGATTCAGTTAATAATTTACACAATACTTCAGTTAATACCAACCAAAGTATTGAGAATGTGGAATCATTGTTTAATATCTACAGGTGGAGTTACTTGACTACAATGCTAAAAATGCACAGTTTAAAATCATGCCAAGATATAAAGTGAAATCAGAAGGAGATACAGTGAGTATATATGTGATAAAGTGTTTGACACAAAATGAAATGTACCATCTTAATAAATTTAAATTTGTATTTTCTCAAATGTTGAAGCTCATGCTCTTCTGTAGTGTCAGATACTGGGGTTGCTTAGATATTGTTATGTTTGATAATTATTATCAGTAGTTTTTAAATGTGAGAGATATTGTCCAAAAATTGATATTATCGTAAGTTCACTTTTAGAAATTAAATTATCTTTTATTTTATTTCAGGTACAAGTAGATGATCAAATAGTTTTAGAAAGTTTCAAATCTGCTGGACAGTTTTTACATGTTAGTAAAGCAGTATTTGGTCAACGGTTTGTCAATTCTAACACGTAAGTATCTGATGCTGACTGTAGTGTAAGGTGCAGGAATGGTTAAAGTGGTTGGTGTAAATGAAATTTATTTTTGTGAAGATGAGATGTTAGATGAAGATTTAGAGGTACATGACCTTTCTCAAAACTAAATTCATGAAAAAAATAATTGTGTTCAGTGAATGTGAATCCTAATTCAATGATGAAATACAGATATGTTGACATAATTTGATGTTACTTGCTGGAATGTTTTGTCTGTTTGAGTTTGAGTAAAGTTCTCAAAGTAGCTCGTCAACGTCAACATGTCAAAAACAACATTTGAATAATCTCACAAACCCAAATTCAGTGGAAAGGTTCTTGGTTTAAGCTCTTTACTGTATGCTACTGCTCTGGAATGTATTTTGGTTTACTATGTCAGGCAATTACCTTGAAGCAGATAAAGAAGTAATGTGTTTGAAATAAAAACAAAAGAAGTCAGGCAGCTGGGATATAGATGGCGTCCTTTGATAGAATCTTATAACATTCATTTGTTTATTTCAGGTTGGAATTGAATTTATCTGTAAGACAGTCTGGTTTTACACTGCATAGATATGATAGCCCAGATATTCAACACACAGACCTCATCAGGGTAATTATACCATAATTATTGTAAACTTTAATTATCATTACTATCAATATTTTTTAATTAATTTAATTGTTTGAGAGTATTCATGAGGTCGAAATTTTCCGTTCACAAAAATCAGTGTTTGTTTTGATGTTTTCATTGTTCTCTCTAATTTGTAGGCTGGCTCCGTGTTTAGATTATTTCACAAAGAGCTAGAAGCCTATCTTACAGCAGAGGGTGTTTTTGGTGCAGAAATAAGTGAAGATGGTAAGTCATTTACATTCTTCTGTGTCAGTGTATGTAATCAACTACCAAACCTCATATCTGGCACTGTTAAAAAATATAATATTTCTATTTCTAAGTGATTTATAGACTGGACTGGGCTCAATGTGTAGTTGTGTAGGAATCCTGAGTCAAAATAGAAACCTCCCAATCAAGCTTGCTGACTGCTGGGGAGGTCAGTCTTCAATAAAAAAATAAAATTGCATGTGAATGTATAGAGTACCTAAGGCAAACAAAAATGTTGCTGCCCCTGATAAACTTAATTTTTTTTATAAATTGTGAATTTTATTTTACCAAATTACAAATTCTATAAATGTTTTTCAAGATTATTATAACAATATATGATTTTATGTTACGTCAATGACACACAAATTAGTACAACTAGTTGCGTCACATCAAAGCTGTGTGCGTAAGGATATGCTGAGGGCGCACTGACTGGGCCATAGATCCACTGCCTTTCTAACTATTCACAAGATTAAACACCAGCAAACTTCTCTACACCGATTAGAAGAAGAAAATACATTTCTAACTTTTTTCCTCCTTTTCCTTCTAGTTCACTTGAGGGTGAGAATAACTGATCCAAGTCATCCCAAAACTCTTTTTCCATCCACATCAGCAATAGTTTACTGGCAGATAGAAGCTGAAGAAGGAATGATGAAAGGTAGAACATTCATAGTAGAATTTTAATAACATTATATGTCTGAACCAACCATCTTTTTTTTTAGACAGAACAGATTTCCATGGGGTTTCAATGTACATGTTTCATTGTTTAATGTCATTGATGGAAACATTTTGTTAAGTAGTCTTATGAAATAAAGCAGCCACCCAAACGTGATCTCTTGCCTCTAATTATTATTATTAATGCAATAATGCTTTGAAATTTCAGGTGAAACAATGAGATGGGAGCAGCAGTGTCGTCTGAGACATTTCACAACTCGAAAATATTTACGTCTATCTGGCAAGGGCAGTGATGTGCAGGTAAATAAGACTTATTTTGCTTTTATCTATCTTTGAGGTGGATTTCATTTAATTTATTTTCTTTCATTAGTTTGTTCATTTGCATGCTCAGTGAAGAAAACTGACAGTGTGTTGACATGCTCATGCTATGTATTGGTTACCATGATTGCACATTTGTTCTGTATTTAAAGTCAGCTATATCACTTGCTAACTGACTGTTGTGAGACATTCAATACTTTTATCTTGCATTATTTTCAAAATTTTTGTCAGTTACTGAGCATTGTCTCTTTCAGTATATAAATATATTTTCAGAGTTGACATGTGCAAATTAAAACTGGGAGTGTATGTGTCATGAGTTAGACAGTATTATATTAGACCTACTATACTGTCTATAGTATGAATTCCCAAATGTCTGTTTCACTTATGAATAGTTTTGACATCTGTTAATTTGCTTATGTTTGTAGGTAACATTAACAGAAACAGCATCCGATCCAAAGACTGTATTTCGATTACATCCTGTGATCCATGATATGGATGAAATACAGTTTGAAAGTTATGCCAGGATAGAACACGTTGTTACAGGATTTTGGTTACATGGTCTAAACGGTAAAATATTTGCACAACACTTGCTTGATTAGAATCAAATGCCATCTCTTCTGAGAAGATGTCAGATGGGGTTTAGTCATATTTCAACTTAAGATTGCACTGTTAGGAAATTACATTTAGTTATCAGTGTTTTTGGACAAGTATATGACATACTGTATTTGCTCTATAGAAGTGCATCTCCAGTAAGATCACACGTAAATCAAAAATTGCATTAATTGTATGCTGGATCATTAAAATGTGACTTAATATGATGATAGAAACCCCTCTTTTTATTAACACATTATCCACTAAAACTGTTTACCCCCCTATTTATTTTGGCTATCTTACTTAAGAATACCGATAATTACAATAATGGCTATTGTGTTAAACTGCTGTAGACAATAGTTTTTGTACCTGAGTGTGATTCAAAAACTTTAACCTAGAAAATAGTAATTTTCAAAAATATGGCAAAATATAGTATGTGTTATGTTACTCTCTAAACTATCTGTTGTGAGTGGATATGATCAGCAGCTGATTTTAACACATGCCTGCTGAAAGGCTCGATGAATAGTTGAAATGAATGGGAGAATACAGCATCAGCAGATGATGTGGTACTCAATAGATGCAAAGAAAACATTTTGGACTGATATGCAATGTAAATCTATAATTTGCATATATCTGTCTGACAAAATATGTCACATGCTATTCTGAAATAGAGAGAGTACAATTTTAGCCCTTTGAACACTAATCTTTTCTAGCAAAATGTTGATGCATATTTTTGAGCATTTTTCTATTATTTCATAGTTATTTAAAAAATTACAAGAGTTGACTTTTGCATTCAAGCTGTTGAAAGAACCACTTGTTTCAATATGATATTTTGATTTTCAATATTTATTAACATTTCCATTTATTTTTAAAAATTGACGATAGTGTTTACAGAATCATAACAACTTTTCTCATTATTGTTAGATATGTACCAAAGTAATAAGTCTAAGGTGTGGCTTGAAGAGGGTAAAAAGGCAGATTCAATGAGTGGTCTACAATGGGATAAAGCTGCATTAAAAAAAATCACTGCAAGTGAAGCTAAATTATATAATGATGCATTTACAATTCAAAAGGTATGTATGGACTGCAGATAATTTGCATAACAATACACAGTGTTTTCTTACCTGTATCGTATTATTTGTTATGTTATGTGAGCTTTATTGATTACCAACACATAAAAATATCTGCTTACAACTCTTTTTTTTTTTAAATCCTGTATGTAACATGCTCATTTTGGCCATTCTGTTATCTGTCAGCTCAATAGCTATAAAATCAATAAGATACACCAGTGTGACCATGCATATCTAACAAGTGCAATTTAAAGCTCTATAAAAACCTTGATTTATTTTCAAAATGCACCAGAGAGCAATATTGTGTGTGACTGTTCGGTGGACTCCACAGGTGGTTCACACATGGAAGTTGACAATATTCTCTGTTAAGACAAAGTTCGAAAACAGATCGTTACAGATTTTTTTGGGAGCATGCATCCCTCTATCCATATACAACTAGTATTCTAATATTCTGTGACTTATCACATTCAAACTTCACACATACTGGTACATTATGTCATACATATAGTCATGAATTAGATTCAAGTTCTGTTTAAAATTGCAGAATCGTGTATGTTGTAGTGAAAATGAACCAATGAAAATGAACCAAGATTCTCTGCATTTGTGGATGAAATTTGTTCATATACTTAGTACATTTGCTAGAGCTTCTAATCTGCCATTTGTGACTTGCGTTTACTGTTTCACAATGAGGACTATGAAATCATCAACATTTAAAATCCTTCCCCTCTGATAAATCTTTTTTTCTGTACATTTCTTTTCCAGGTTGATGAAGAGTTAATTCAAATCTTCAACTTTGTTGCTGGTATGGTACCGTTCTTACAGAAATTTATTGATGATGTAAGTATTTAACTTTTCGGATTTCAAAGTGAAAATTTTGATCAAGACCTGACAATGAGATATTTGGTTTAAAGTTATAATTATAGAAACATACATACAAATATGCATTAGCTTTTCTTTCAAACATACAGCACCTTTTCAATCCTTCACAAAATATAAAAATCTTGGAATATATTTTCAGTTTATAGCTTCCCATTTACAGCATCATTTGGTTGTTTTCCTAGTGATTATCATTATTTATTGTTACCATCAGCTGTCATTGATATTGATATTATGTATCTATGCTATGTAGAGTGATCTTGTGGTATTTTATTTCCCATCTTCTGCTTGTTGCTTCTGTAAATACATGTACTGTAAAAATACATTGAAATAGTTTCATACAATTATAACAAATTTGACTCCATGTATGAATTAACAGAATCTTAATTTAGCTGGAGTGTAAACAATCTCATTGTGAGAATATACTTTCTGTTAAATTAGCTACATCTTAAATTCATAGTGATATTACAGATTAGGTAAATTTGCTAAAATAACATGCTAGCTAAAAAGACATGTTTTACAGTATAGTCTAACACATTTTTTTTAGCTAATCTGACTCAATGCATGAATTAACAGAATCTTAAAGGACATGAACAAAATTTTATTTGTGTACCATTTTGGTAAACACATACTAATAGTAATGTATGTCACGTCAAATGATTTGTTTTTAACTATATACTATTTGGTGCTATGTAAATTGTATGTATAACATAACCATTCTAACATTTTACGTTTTACCTTAAAGTGCTCACAATTACATTAATTACTGGTACTTAATTAACTAAAATAACATATATTATTTAACAATATTTATATTATTGCAGAAAAAGAATGGTATGGTTGTGAATGCCAAAAGAGCTCAGACTGTCTTATCAGCATTGGAAGAACTGAAGAACTTTATGATAGTAAAAGGGGAACCAATTAAAAATAGACAGAAGTTATTGAGAAATCTGAAAATACTTGAATTGCTCGTACAGATAGCTCAGATATCATACATGGGAACCAACGATGAAAAGTATGTAATATGTATTTTAAATAATGTTTAAGGTTAAAGCAGTAACAGCTGTAACTATCAAACTTTTTCTCTGATTTTTCATTTTTAATAAATCATTTCCTGTGTCATTAGTGCTAATTTGTAATGGACATAACCAAAATGTGGACACTGGAAGCATACCATATATGCTCTATACCGACGTTATACATTAAATCACTTGCAAGTGATAAAAGATGGCTACAAGGTTATTCTTGAGTCATCAGAGGACTCCATTTATTGAAATTTGCTATATACACGTTAATTAAAACCCAGTCAAATTGCTCAAAACATCAAATCAGTTAAATTAAATGCCAGTGAAAATAAGTGGTTTTACAGTAGTACAATACAGTCAACTCTGAAATATTATTGTTTTTGCAGATTAATGGTTGATATCATTGTAGCCTGTTATAATGTGATGCATACGTATGTTATTGGTGACAGTAGAAAGAATGAACTCTATATTGCAAGATTTATTGATTTCTTTCAAACTCAGATTCTCAGAGAGGTAAGTGTACACATTATAAAACAATATTCCCAATATTCTGTTTGAATTAAAAATACTATAATATCACTTTAGTAACATATGCACTTTGAACTGTGATTTAACTTACTTAATACTTATTGTATTAAATAAGTTGAATCACTGTTTTTCAAAAATGGACATGTGTTTTGCAACCAAATACTAGTAGTGTATCATACTATGAGGAATGCAAAGTATGTACAAAGACAGTACAGCGGGAGTATCAACGGACATGCAGCAGGGGTTGATGTGACTGTGTAATGTCTGAGGGCATACTTTGCAGTATCCTCGTAATAGCCTTATAAATATATACATCTTTTCCTCCCAATGATACATGGAATGCCAAAATCCAAAAAAGTTTAGAACAGATTTAGCGAACTTCTTTGTGTGGGGTCGGGTCAAACCCTGGGGGCAGCCATGTTTGTTTTTATTAATAATGAGCTCTGTTAGAAAAAAAAAGTTTTGCTTCTAGTCACCACATGCGTAAATTTCAAACCAAGTTTGTGTACTGATGAATTGTGTCATATATGGTAGAATGGGGGAATGTTTGTTTTTCTGTTTTAGAGGATATTTTGTCGATCCAAATTTAATTTTTATTAGAACGAGAAGCAAAACTTTTTTTGCCTAAAAAGATGAAAAAATAACTGTCTATCTCTAAGCTGGTAGTCTATTTTAATCACATTCTTGATACTATGTGAAGTTTTGGCATTCTGTCTATCTACTGAAATGCTTAGCGAACTGCATCTGACAAAATAAGGGGAACATATAAGGTAAGATATTACTAATTGGTGGATGGGTTTTTATTTTATTTTATGCATCGCACAGCTCCTTAAATATTTGCATGCAGATGCACCAATCTTCCAAGCATGCTACTTACGATGATATATCGCAACTGACTGTAGATGGTCGACAGGTTTAGAAAAGTTAGGTGGCTCAACATGAAAAACAAAAAAATGTTTTATTACCAACAACAACTGTTGGCTGATGTCACATTGGCCTACAATTACAACTATAATCGTTAGACGCTCTGTCGGTTGACTACAGTCTGTAGCTTAATTTCACCTGTAGAGAGTGTTAACTGACCATTAACAAACAATCCTCTTTTTGCTCTTTCTCAATAAATTGCTGGATGGATAGATTTACAGCGTGGTATGTACATACCTTTGAAAAATAATATTATGAGTGTTGTTATTTATTAACTTAACCCCTACCTGTTATCTGTGTTACAAACTAATGACATTCATGATGTATTTGTAAGTGTATGCATTGTGCTGATCACATCTGTATGTTTGTTGACATTGTGTGTTAAAATATTATTACTGATATGTAGCTTCAATCATTGTATGTATATGAGCAAAAACTATAAGACCTGCCTTAACTGAATACATTTTGTCTTCTCTCTATTACCTCTGTAAACTGAACAGCTATATCTCAGTGTTCATTGTCTCTTTTCTATTACCTCTGTAAACTGAACAGTTATATCCCAGTGTTCATTGTCTCCTCTCCATTACCTCTGTAAAGTGACCAGTTATATTTCAGTGTTCATTGTCTCTTCTTCATTACCTCTGTAAACTGAACAGCTATATCTCAGTGTTCATTGTCTCTTTTCTATTACCTTTGTAAACTGAACAGTTATATCCCAGTGTTCATTGTCTCCTCTCCATTACCTCTGTAAAGGACCAGTTATATTTCAGTGTTCATTGTCTCTTCTTCATTACCTCTGTAAACTGAACAGCTATATCTCAGTGTTCATTGTCTCTTTTCTATTACCTCTTGTAAACTGAACAGTTATATCCCAGTGTTCATTGTCTCCTCTCCATTACCTCTGTAAAGGACCAGTTATATTTCAGTGTTCATTGTCTCTTCTTCATTACCTCTGTAAACTGAACAGCTATATCTCAGTGTTCATTGTCTCTTTTCTATTACCTCTGTAAACTGAACAGTTATATCCCAGTGTTCATTGTCTCCTCTCCATTACCTCTGTAAAGTGACCAGTTATATTTCAGTGTTCATTGTCTCTTCTTCATTACCTCTGTAAACTGAACAGCTATATCTCAGTGTTCATTGTCTCCTATCTATTACCTCTGTAAACTGAACAGCTATACCCCAGTGTTCATTGTCTCCACTCTATTACCTCTGTAAACTGAACAGTTATATTTCAGTGTTCATTGTCTCCTCTTC